TTCTGCCAAGACATTCAATGAATAGAGTGGAGCATGCTGAGCTCTTACAAAATCTTGTTTCTAGGGGTTAAAGTTGCAGAAACTGTAAAGATTCACTTGGACATTTCCTGATAAAAATCCAACTGAAAGAGTGCCCCCTAGTGGACAGAAGAGGATCACAGGGAAAAGGAAAGACCCTTTGACCTCTGGGGAAAGAAGGGATTGCTTCCCCACCATTGGCTACCCTTGAAGCCTGAACCAAACAAGTTCTGGGAGAGCAACAGAGGATTGTTGCCAACAGTTCTGACCTGTGGGACAACAGCACAAACACTGGGATCTTGATGCACACAGTCAAATCCTAATGAAAATACTGTTACTGTGTATGAAATTTGCAGCTCTTGGTCAAGATCTTACTTTTAGGCAGAGTTCTTTCTAAATTACTGCTGATAACCACTTGGAGAGCTGTTCTGATGATGCCCAAAGTTGCCACAAGGCCCCTCATACTTTTTAACAGGGAGAGGGTTTAACCTACATATTGTCTGTCCAATGCACACCACTAATGGAGATTAGCTTGTGGATCTTAAAAGCCCAGAACATTTTTGGATGGAAGGAATAAACCTTGGGGCGCCTGGGTGGCGCAGCCGGTTAGGCGTCCGACTTCAGCCAGGTCACCATCTCGCGCTCCGTGAGTTCAAGCCCCGCGTTGGCCTCTGGGCTGATGGCTCAGAGCCTGGAGCCTGTTTCCGATTCTGTGTCTCCCTCTCTCTCTGCCCCTCCCCCGTTCATGCTCTGTCTCTCTCTGTCCCCAAAATAAATAAACGTTGAAAAAAAAAAATTAAAAAAAACAAAAAAAACAAAAACCTAAAAAGGAAAATGTCACTGTTACCTAGCACATCAGTTATCACTTCTTACACCATTCCAAGGACAGTATTTTTCATGGGATCAAGTCATTAACAAAAGAGAGTAAGAGTTAGAAGGAAAGCTGAATGAAAAACTACTTATCTCATACATACAAATAAAGACCTGAGGTCACCATGGTGATGAAAATGCTCCTTAGGAAAAGATGAAAAAAATTAAAATTTAACTAATGAACGTGTTCCCAAGGAATTCAAAAGGCAGAGTCAAGAAAGAGACCATGATAAAAGACTCCTTGCTGATCACCATAAGAAGAGTGAGAAAGTAAAAAGGGCTAGAAGTTTTTATAGCACTGCCTATCAAATCTGAATTCATAATATTCCCTGGCAAGGAATAAATCAACTGAGGAAATTTGTGATTTATAGAAAGTCAAGAGTTCAGAAACAAGAGACTAATCTTTAAGAGAGAAAAATGATCAAGAGAACTTGTAGTATACATTTGAGGGCTGGCTCCTCTCTCTGGGCTCTTACTTAAAAAGGCCCACATCTTCCTGAACCGTAATGAAGAAGTGGCTGGAGACCTCTGACTAAGGAGGGAGATGTAAAGAGTGAGGTAGGCGTTTTCTTTAAGGTTCATTCCTGGAGTAGGTATACAAGAGGCTTTAGGGATCAGTAAAATAAAAGGGGGATACAGCTATGTCTAACAAGTAACGGAGACTTGTGTTTAGCAAATGAGAAAGGAAATAATGCAATGTTATGAACACCCACTGTCCAAATAACTTCCTCATCAAGCCTGGCAACTACTAGGCTGAAATCATCTACGCAGAACTTTTATTGTAATAGAGAAGCAGGTCTTAGTTCTCCAATTGGATTCATTGCTACTAGTGAATATACTAGAATCAAAACATGTCTCTTCTTCTTCAACCCTAAATATCCAGTATTTCACCTACTTTCCCTAATCTGTTATTTCTTTTTTGTACTAAGAGTCACTGCCAATTCAAGGACAGAAGTGAAGTGCCCGAATGAATGAAGTAGTTGCAAAACTACTTCTTTCATCTTTTGTCTGGAGCTAAGCTTCTGGAAACATTTAGGGGAGGGATATACACTTCTGGAACGCAGAGGGCCAGAGCAAGGACTTTGGAATCAGACACTCAAGAGTGAGAATCCTGGCTTTGGCACTTACTATATAGACTTGTAAAAGTTATTCAAATTAGGTCTCTAATTCTTTATCTGAAAGACAGAATATTTACAGAGTGCTAATGAGTATTTATCTATTGCTTAATTACATCATCAATATTAAGACTATGAACCTGAAACTGGTTACCTACCTGACAAAAAGGATTAAGGATGAAGATATTCTGAAATTTTACATGGACATGTTTAAAACATCAGAAACAAAAGAAACCTTGCTTTTATAATCAGGAGACCTGGGCCCTTAGAGGCCTACCTCTGAAGCTGCTAAAGCCTGAATTTCCTTACCTGACATAAACTTTAACTAAGATCCTCAAAGTCTTTTTTTACTCAAGTGTTTTTTTTCAGGTACGTTGTGATCAAGGGGCTACTTGGGAACAATATGCATGGAGTTTGCCAACCTGAAGCACCAAGAGAAGGAAGTTCAAAACTGCATCAGGAAAGCCAAGGGCAAATTAGCCCTGATCACAGTGGGAGTTATACATGGGATGGGGTCCCTATGCAGTACTTCTGCCTGGTACCTGAGACCCCTGCATCAATGGCATTAAATCAACTATTCTGTTCCCAAGAGACATGTTAAATAAGTCCCAATATTCAAATACCTCTTGTATCACCAGAGATTTACAGACTAACTCAAAGGGGAAAAAAGCAGGCAAACAGAGAAGAAAAAAATAAATATCGGACATTAAAGTCAGTAAAACATTGAAAATCCAAAGAAAAAATTATTTTTAAAATGGGGAGGCATTTCTTTTTTGGGGGGAAATGAATGAAAACATAGATGTACCATGGGCAACAAGCAGCAGGAATGTCCTGGTGCATCTGAGTGCTATAAGTAACTTAGAGTTGGGTAAACAGTAAGCACTTAGGATTATATTTGACAGAGAAAATAAAACCTCCCCCAGGAATTTCTTTAAATCATTAAGATTTAGAATGTCTGGAAAACTCATGATTTTGTAGTTTTCAGAACACACCCTCAAGTGTTTCCTAATGAAAAGACAGGGACATTAAGACAGTGTGCCAATTTAACAGCTGCAAATGGTAACTGAAACTACAGATATTTAAAGACTAGCTAGAGGGGTGCCTGTCAATCAGTTAAGTGTCTGACTCTTGATTTCGGCTCACGTCATGATGTCAAGGTCGTGAGATTGAGTCCCGTGTCCGGCTCTGTGCTGAGCATGGAGCCTGAGTAAGATTCTCTCTCTCTGCCTCTCCCCTGCTTGTGCACTCAGCAATCTACTAGTGAGGATTATTACTACACAAAAATCAATAGTCCATTAAACCAAACTAAAGAAAATTTAAATTTTTTTTTTTCAACGTTTATTTATTTTTGGGATAGAGAGAGACAGAGCATGAACGGGGGAGGGGCAGAGAGAGAGGGAGACACAGAATCGGAAACAGGCTCCAGGCTCTGAGCCATCAGCCCAGAGCCTGACGCGGGGCTCGAACTCACAGACCGCGAGATCGTGACCTGGCTGAAGTCAGACGCTTAACCGACTGCGCCACCCAGGCGCCCCTAAAGAAAATTTAAAAAAGAACCAAGGCTGGTAGAAAGTTAGAAACTTAAATGAAAAGAATGTCATTTCTAGGGCAGAACCTGAGAAGTGAAGGATCATTAAAAAGTTTGGTTACAGTGCTGAAAATGACAAAAGGTAAAGTCTGGCTTGGGTATTTTTAACATACCATCTATCAATTCACAGGGGGAATAAAATGCCAAGGAAAACCATTAAACTGCAGAAAATCCCACTCTCATCAACAGTAATATGAGTGTACAGAAGTAGGATGTGACCAAGGCAGGAGGAAAGGGGTCCAGCCAGTATGCATGCACAGTGGCACTCAGAGCACAGCTGCAAGAAAGCAACTTAGGCCAGAGCCAACAAAGGGCTAGATTCTGTGACCTTACAAATTAGGAAATCATTTGATTTTGAGTTTCTCTGTCAACTAGTCTTTGGTGATATACTAGAGTAGGGTAAGTTGTCACTGTCATGGTATTTTTCACTAAGAGGGTGGAAGTAATCCACTGTGCTGGGCTTTAGTTCAGAAGATGACAGCTCTTCTGGAATACAAGGCCACTTTGCCCTGAGTGACAGGGCAACATGTTAAGTCTGAGCACAGCGATCTCACACTCTCAGATACATGCACATATCTAGGGACCACCAAAGACACCTAGCAATGTTACGCTCCTTATAAGAAAGTGCAGCTTGGTCCCCTCAGATCACTTAAGGAATAAAATAAAGGGGCAGGAGGAGGGCAGAGAGAAGATGGGGAAATGCTCAAAAGTTGCACTTAGTTTCCATCACTAGGGTCATAATATACCCCTAAGTAAATAAAAAAGCTTTCAGATGGAAATACAAAATTAGTGGGCTATAATTGTCATTAAATTCAAATACTGTATTCTTCAGGGGAAATAACTACAAGTGCCCCATCATAAGGCAGCACAAAACCACAAAAATTAGGAAGTGAAGAAAGAAGAGGGCAAAAAGATCAGTTCTTCTAGAACAAAGGGGAAGATACAAAGGTGAAGAAGCAAGAATTTATACCAAAAAAAAAACATGGACCAGAAGACAAGATCCCTAGATCTGGTCATTTAACCTTGGGCAAGGTATCTACTCACTCCAAACATGCTACAGAATGGAGATAATACACATCCTGCTTATCTCTTAAGGCTTCTTTGCAGATCCAAGAAGTAACACATGTTAAAGCAGGTAGAAGACTACAAAACACAACAGAAATGTAAGGTAACAGTATTAGTACTTCAGGTGTGGCAGCCTGGACTTAAAATAACTTTCTACCCTGTCAGTTAACATCACAGGTACTGAGCCTTCTGGACTATTAATAAAAAAAAAAAAACCACAAAAAACTGCAGTAGAGATATCAATCCCTGATCTCTCAGTCTTCTTAAGAGAAATCGCTTTACATCTGCTTCATCTCGCTCTAATGTTCAAGATACTCAATTAAAAGGCTCTTCTGTATTCTTACCTTTTGAAGCTGGAGGGAAAATGGCCATGAAAACATCAAATATTGAAAAGAAATGGAAGGGGAAAAAAAAAAAAAGAATCACACATGGCTCTGTTACTATAGACAGTCACTCAATCACCTAAGCTATTCAAAACTCCACCCAACCCTTTATGAGTGTAGGTCTAGGATGGCACCTTAAAGACAGTGTCAGAATCCGTTCAAGGGTATTATTAACAGGGGCCTAGACTGAGCTTCTTGTCACCTTAATCTCATATCCCCAACAAGTTATACTGATATAAAATACCCATATACAAAACAAACTGGGGGAAAAATACCAAAATGCAACAGTTTTCTTTCTCAACCTCAGCATCCCCAGAATACAAAAATATCTTAATTCCTTCCTAACAGGAAAAACCACCTCTCTTCAACCCTCACCCAGGGACAGGAAAAGAATGGAAAACCCACTTAAAGGACACTCCAAGTCCTATCCTGGCCCTGGGCATGAAAGAGGAAGGTACTCACTCTTGGTCTGGGCAGAAAAGGTAAGAGTAAGTTTGGCGAAAAGTTCATTGTTCTCAAAACGGTCCTCCTTCACTTTTGTCCAGAAGCAGTCCTGGGACAGGTCCTCAACAACAAACTGTGAATAAAGGCAGAGTGTTGAGTTATTAAGCTGAGCTCTGTACTTTCCAACCTGGAAAATGGATTAACATGCAGAAGACGTGGGTAGTGGTTATCAGCAAAACAGACTAATCCAAGACACAGAGGAGTTGCACTCTTCATGGTAGGATCAGGAGACAGTGCTTCCAGTTTGTTTTTTGGTGATTATTCAAGAACTAGATTCAGTTATGCTACTTATCTTCCTCCTAACCTCAAGTCCTCTAGTTTTAGAAGTATTGAGGATTTCACATCTTCCTTTGCTCTACATTATATTTTTCCCAAAAATTTAGCTATTAACTATGACAAACGGAAAAAAACAATTTAACTATGACAAATTAGTTTATGAGTTTATTAGTTTATTTTGTATCACTAGGCTCTTTTAACTTGGTTTCTTTAAGCAGAAGGCTAATGCAGAAATCACAGGGGCCTCAAATGCACAGTGGAGGAAATACTGTGCCATGCAAACATGTCCTCTGTAACTCACTGATGGCAGAGAGAGGTATCAGGATGTATCCAAAAGCCACAACTTTCCAGATCAGCACTACTGTCAGCAGCTCGCAAACTGGTGAAATGACTATTACCAAACTGTTTGTTACCATGGCACTCATAACCTCAGAAAAAAGACCAAAAACATTAACTTAAAGATATGTTTAGGGTTTGTAGCAGAGAATAGGGCTCCAAGAACTCTCCGAAGTGATGTCTGCCATACAGAAGACGCCTAACATGTGCTGAATAAGCAGAAGCATGAATGGAACCTGAAGACAGATGTTAGTCGTAAGAAAGGGAAGACCACCTGGGCACAAAGTAGGAAAGTGAAGTGGTTTCTTAATATCTACTAATGAAAAAAATGGACAGAAATTCTCACCTTGGACCAGTTTGGCCTTCGGAGCTGCACTTCTGGCTTATAAAGCTTCTTTGGGGTCAATCCAAATGGCAGAACTGGGGCTGCAGGAACTCCAAATCCAAAAGGGGGAGGTGGAGGCATACCCATTCCAGGTGGAGGTGGAGGGATTCCAGGACCTCCAGGAAGAGGGGGAGGAGGAGGTGGGGATGCCAGCACCCCCAGGCAAAGGAGGGGGTGGGATACCAGTGCCCCCAGGCAAAGGAGGAGGTATAGGGATACTAGCACTCCCAGGCAAAGGAGGGGGTGGGGGGATGCCAGCACCCCCAGGCAAGAAGTGAGAGGAGACCTGTGCCCCCCCAGGCAAGGTGCTCAAGGGATGCCTCCCAGGCAAAGGAGGGGGTGGGGGGATGCCAGCACCCCCAGGCAAAGGAGGGGGTGGGGGGATATCAACAGTACTTCCAGGCAAAGGAGGGGGTGGGGGGATACAAACACCCCCAGGCAAAGGAGGGGGAGGTGGTGGAGGAGGAATGGTACCACCTCCAGGAAGAGGAGCTGATGGGGGTATGCTAACCACCCCCGGTAAAGGAGGGGCTGGGGGTGGAGTAACAGGGCCAGAGTCACCAGGTAAAGGAGGGGTGGGGGGGACAGGAGCACTGCTAGGAAGGGCTACAGCAGTAACGGCAGCGGCAGCGGAGAGAGAAGCCATTTCTTTCTTGGCATCTTCCAGTTCCTTAGAAAGCTTGGCAACCTAGAGGAACAACAACAATGGAAGTACTCCTCCCTTCACTCAGGGACTACTGGGGTTGGAAGGGACCTACAAAATTACTTAATCCAAAGTTCTCATTTTTACACACACAGACACTGAAAGTAATCAGACAGACTCCTCAAGTCATACCTAAAGTCACAGATATTTAGGGACACAAACTAGAATTCAGGTCTTCATGTTCTTAGTTTAGCATGCTTTGCATTAAAAAGGCAACTTCAACCTTTATGTTAAATTCTCCCTTTAATTAGAAAATACAAAGTTCAAGCAAATCAAATATTCTAGTGATAAAACCATGTAAGTGATCAACTTATCAGATACCATATTTAAGTATTTGTAACTGCAGGGGTGCCTGGGTGGCTCGGTCACTTAATGCATCTGACTTCAGCTCAGGTCATGATCTCACAGTTCCCGAGTTCGAGCCCTGCGTCAGGCTCTGTGCTGAAAGCTCAGAGCCTGGAGCCTGCTTTGGATTCTGTGTCTCCCTCTCCCTCTGCCTCTTCCCCGCTAGTGCAGGTGCACACTCTCTCTCTCTCAAAAATAAACAAACATTAAAAAAATAAATACTTATAACTGCAAAGAGAGTACGGGGATAAATCTGTCCAGAAATAGCTAAAATAAGAGAAAATTAGCAAATATGTGAAGAGATAATTTGGATTTTACTCCTGAATGCCTTAGAAGACCATTAGTTTTAATTCTGGGTAGTACTGTGACTCCTTTTATTCTCTACGTTGTCTGTATTTTCCAAATTTTCTATCTTATGTATTACCTCAAAATAAAACAAAAAACAGTAAATGATTTTTAAAACATGCACTATCTAACTAGATTACCTATTAATAACTGAACCCTCCCGAGGAATAAGGTGTCTGACTCCTGCTGCAGACAGGCCTATCATGAGGCTGCTGATGGCTCAGAGGTCACTCTGCCTCCCCCGCTCAGGCATTACCTCCCCTGTGAGTTGAGACACCTCTGCTTCCAAGTCCTGTTTCTTTGTGGCTATCTGCTGCTTTTCAGAATCCAAGGCATCCTTTTCTCCCTGAAGATCCTGGAGCTTCTGCTCAAAGTCACTTTCCATCTTTTTCATTTCTACCTGTAGCTCATGTCGTGCTGTTAACTCTGAGTCCAGCTAAAGGAGAAAGGAATTAGGCTCTTTGTAAGCTCTCCATTCCAGCAAGAAGCACAGCGTTATTCCCCAAAATTCACTATTTTGTCCCAATGCTTTTAGAGAGCGCACTTTCCCAGGGAATGCCTGGGAAAAAAGACCACCATGATTTTGACCTTAAAATCAAGGTTAAAGAAGGGGGTAACCAGGGATCATTTCCACAGTCTATCTAATTTGGGGAATTACAAAAACAAACAAAAACAACCTAAGACAAATACTGTATGATTTCACTTACGTGTGGAATAAAAAAACCCAAAAAAACAAGAAAACAGATCAACAAACAAAAAAAGCAGAAACAAACCCATAAATACAGAGAACAAACAGGTGTTTGCCAGATGCAAAGGGGGTGGGGGGTAGGCAAAATGGATGACGGCAATTGGGAGGTACAGGCTTCCAGTTATGGAATGAATAAGCCACAGGGACGAAAGGCACAGAAGAGAGAATATGGTCAATAGCATTGTAATAGTGTTGCATAATGACAGATGGTAGCTACACTTTGTGGTGAGCACAGCATAATGTATAGAGTTGCTGAATCACTATGTTGCACCCCTAAAATTAACCTAACATTGTGTGTCAACTATACTTCAGTTAAAAACCAAGCAATCAAATAAACCTAAGATTTTAAAGAAATTTAACACCGTTAAGACATTTCACCAGGGCAGCTATGGTGGACAATCTCAGCAGCCTCTAGGAGCAAACCCCCATCAACCGCAATAGGAGTCCATAACAACTAAACAGGAAAAAAAGAATTCACACACATATTCCTGTTGTTCTAGGAATAAGAGGCCTGAGATGCCAGCAAAACTGCAACAACTGTCACTGTTATTCATGAGAGCCATCTGTCTTTTCCTGTCCTACCCAGGGGATCAAGAACTGTGTACCACCAATTCCTCTGGATCACATCCATGTTAGTTTCTCCAGTGACTAACCTATACCAGAAAGGTTTCTCCTAGGAACCGCTACTGTGTGCTGAATGTTTGCTAAGTATCACAGGTAACAGTTTCACATGTCCGAAAAAAACATAATCCTTAAAAAGGGAAAAAAAGACCCCAATTTTTTTGATCTCTCATACATGCCTTTTTTTCCAACTCTGTAGCTTTGGCTTCAGATTTCTCCACCTTTGTTTTATCAATCATTTGATCTGAAAAGAAATAGAAGAATCAGTAAAGTTCCCAATTCTCTTGTCTTTCCCTCTCACTACCTAAATCCTTCAATATAATGGCAGGCTTCTGTCCATTTTCTCACTTTTGTTATACTTCTTACTGTTCTGCACTAAACAAAGAAATGAAACTTTCTATTGAGCTCAACACAGAATTTCTGGGTGCCTGTGATGTGGTAAGGCCGCCACGCTGGGCAGCATGGAGAGTGCCTACAAGTGGTACTTATGAACTTCTGAGACCAGGAGTCAGATGACAGCTGAACTCCCTTCAAAAGGTGGGGCGATGTGTGAGTAGTGGTACATTCTTAGTTTCACACAGAAATAAACTAAAGGTCTGTATATTCCTAACACAGATGTTGATGATCACCTAAGGACACAAATGGAAATACCTGGAGACTAGGAATTTATCTTCCATGAAACTTTCACTGGAGAAAGACACAAAATGAAAGGTAGAAACAATGTTTTAAGGAGGCAGATAGAAGAATATGCTTACCAATCAACCCCTCAATATCAATCTGGAGGTGCCGGCACTTGAAGTCAGGATCAGCCCCATTCTTGTGCAGAACTATCTGAGAAATACATTCTTCAATCAGCTTATAGTACTGCGGTCTATGGAAGAAACACAACAAGGTTATGAAAGGAAAACCAAAATACAATTCTCAGAAACAATCAGGATCAGGAAAAGTTAACTGCTTTGATAAATGAGGGACCTGAGGATAACTATTCCAGAGAAGACCTTTTCGTAAAACTAACAGAAGTATGTTGCCAGGCTAGGCAACTCCCTCTTCTACAGCAGCTACTCCATCTACTTCAGATAATCAAAACTTGTTGCCATCTGCTTCCTAATGCCAATAATTTCCCATCTCAAAATTCAGGCTTGATCCTTTCTGTGACAGACAGCACTACTGCTTACTCTCTACTTCTAGGCAACCTGAAAGAACCTTAAGTGGGTTCCTCCCTTTGCTACCATCTTTATCCCACCCACCTCCCATTTCCAAAATGGGAAGGACACTTTACGGTATACACTGTGATCTCTTCCATACAGCCGCCCTTCAGTCAGATTAAAAGGACAACTGACAACTCTTTATATATCTGACTGAAAATTAAATGTAACCTTTGTCTTTTCTTTTTCCTTTTACAGTCTTTGAATTTAAGGATTTTTCTCTCTCTACTTCGGCTCAAATTTAATACTTCTCACAGGTATACCATCTTACCTAGCCTCATAGTCATTTCGGACCAAGAGTAGGTGCTGCAGGATGGACAGGAAGTGTGGCTCTGCCTTTGAATCCTTTACTGTGTTTAGGAGAATCTGGAAAACTTCACTGAAGTCAGTGGAAAAGGGGAAGAGGCTAAGGAAAGCATATATTTAGAAACTGTTTGACAGGTCGATTGCCCAACTCTTGGGAAAAGTCCCAAGATGCCACTTCTATTCTAACAGCCATCTCCCCTGTAAACATTACCCAAAACTTTAAGCTCCGTAAACTTCCTAAGGCCAAGGGACCAGTGAGTTGGGTGGTATTATACACAGAGACAGAGGATTCCCAGTACTTGGCTTGAAGATCAAGCAGTAGACAGAAATGAAACAATCACTACCCACAAGTCACGTGTGTCAAATAGTGATACATAGCCAGACTACTCCCTCTGTCAGTCTCAGGGACACCCACAAGAAAGCAAATGACAAGCCTACTCCCCGACTTGTGAATGTGCATCAAAAACCAGCTCTACACCTTCGTAAACCAAGCTCTTATGTTCTAGGAAGTCTATACACGTTTTGATGGCTACTTCCATGCTGAGCAACCCTCAGATCACCTTTCCTAATTTCTTTGGTCCATGCTGAGGTAAATAAAGCCCAGCAATCAAAAGACACCTGCCTCACCTACTGAGAAGACACACAGGCTGATACCCTGTTCAGAGTCATTACCCCACACCATTTCATGCAGGGATCTATAATGAATGTCTCATATGTCTTGAACCCAGTCCATAAAAGGATATTCCATCTCCATTCGAATGTCATCCAGCCGTCCCTTCAGGTCATAGGAATCCTCTTCCCCTTGCTCATCAAACACATTTAGTTGCACTCTCATATCATCATTTTCAATCTCTCGAAGATCCTGTCAATGATCAAAGTACAAATCAGGGAACCCAGAAGCATCCTATGCCAGCCAGAAACCCAAGCCTTTCAACCTGGTTCTTAAATTGAGAGCGAAAGTGACCCCAGAGATGACTGAGCTATCAAAGCAGGCAGCAGGCAGCCTGGCCTCTCTAATGAAGAGCTGCATCTCACCTGCAACACCTGATGCAGCCCCAAGCGCATCAGTTCACTTCGGATGTGAACTCGGAAGTCAAGTTCTTCAGCTGGTGTGATGAGAGCATTGATCAGCTGTAGACATCCCACCTAAAATAAGCAAATTCGGCACTTATGTCATTGTAATCTGCTAGAGATCAAGATTCCGTTCTCTTTACATGAGTGCTGAGGACCCCAGATGTCACGCAGAAGATGCAGTACACAACCACAAGAACAACTTTCTGCTGGCGCCATTTAGATCTGATTTGGGCCCAGGTCTGGGTCGCTCAGAAGTCTAAATGATTCCAAGGATTTGATGGTATACTCTGTACTAGGCCTTGGCTTTCCCAGCATTTAAAGAGAGAGCATGCCCTTTCACCAGCTCATAGTAAGGAGAGCTGCTTTCTCTCTGCCTTCTTAGAGAGCAAATCCTGAATGATAAAATAAATATATACAGACTCACCTCATTTCACTGAACTTCACTTTATTGCACTGCTCTATATATAGTGCATTTTTTACAAACTGAAGGTCTGTGGCAATTCTGTGTTAAGCAGGTATATCAGTGCTAATTTTCCAATAGCATTTGCTCACTTCTGGTCTCTGTGTCATGTTTTGGTAACTCTCAGACTATTTCAAAGTTTTTCATTATTATTTTATTTGTTATGGTGATCTGTGATCAGGGATTATGACTCTCTGAAAGCTCATATAATAGTGAGCATTTTTTAGCAATACCGTTCTTGTAGACATAATGCTATTGTACACTTAATACACTATAGTACAGAGCAAACATAGCTTTTATAAGCATGCATTAGGAAACCAAACAATTCATTTACCTCACTTTATTGACCTATTTGTTTTATTGTAGTGTTCTGGAACCAAACCTGCAGTTCCCCTGCTGGATGCCTATACCTGGGAACCATTCCATGTGTTCTATTAAAACATCAAATGAACTTAAGTCCTTCCATTTTGAATTCTATTACTGGGTACAGTTCAGAGGATATACTTGCCTTGAGCGCAATGGAGGTCCCACTTTTTAATCCATCCAACAATGGCTGGAAGCGTTCTACCTCATCCATCTCAGCTCTTTCTGTCATTGCCTCCAAAACCCTTTCATTCCTGCCCAGGAAAAAGGAAAGGGAGAGAAATGTCCAGGTGCCCTGACACACACAAGCACAATAGGTAGATTATACAGTGGCACAAATCAGTTAGGAAAAGAACATTACCAACGCCCAGGTTTTCAATATTATTCTCATCACCTAGGTCAGGAGCCAGAATCTGCTGAAAGCTAAGAACCATCTCCTTAGAAAAATGTATTCTCTAAAACCCATTCCTAGACTCCTATCTATGGATAACAAATTAAGACACCTGTTCTATGGAGTATCAACTGGTACCACTTTTGGAGGGGTATTTAATAGTACTGGTTTTTAATGAATTTAACATTTGGCTTACTTCTAGAAACTTACCGAACATAAATGCATAAATGTGAAAGAATATATGTACAAGGATGTTCATTATGGCATCATTTGTAATAGTAAAATTTAACACCTAGAGCAGGGGCCAGAATGTGCTAAGAAAAAAAAAGTCACCTAAAAAGTCTAGCAATGGGGTAACTGTTAAATAAATTGTGGGATATACATCCTATAGAATTCTAAATAGCCACTTAAGATAATAAGGTAGATCTGTAAATACCCACAGAGAAAAAATGTTCAAGATCAACTGTTATATTTAAAAAAAAAAAAAAAGGTAAAAAGAAATGAATGGTATGATTTTGTTTGTATTAAACCAAACTGCTCCACAAAAATAAAAATCTATCCTAGGCATGTGATTTGTTTTACAGAAAAGTTACATCTTTCCTTCGTTCTAAGATAGCATCTTTTGGAGCAACAGAAGGTATCTCATAATCAAGGAAAGACAATATATTTGTCTATGCTAGAAAAAAAATCAATGAGATTGTACCAAGCCATTAACACTGGCTACCCCTGCAGAATAGATTTACTAGAGGGATAAGGCTGTTAAATTTTACTTTATATGTTTCCATATTGTTTGAGTTTAAAAACTAATGTGTTACTTTTGAATTAAAAAAACAAAAAAGTAAAAGCAAGCTTTGTCCTATTAATGTCCTACAGACATTAATGGAGACCTAGGAGATGCTTTGCTATCCCACTGATAACCAGAAGTACACTGATGATAGTGACACACACCTAACAGTTTTTTTTTTAATCTTTATTTATTTTTGAGAGAGAGAGAGACAGAGTGTGAGCGGGTGAGGAACAGAGAAAGAGCGAGACACAGAATCCGAAGCAGGTTCCAGGCTCTGAGCTGTAAGCACAGAGCCCGATGCGGGTCTTGGAATTGATGAGCCATCAGATCATGACCTGAGCCCAAGTTGGATGCTTAACCGACTGAGCCACCCAGGTGCCCCTGCAGTTACAGTCTTTCTTAAACATTAAGATTCACGGTGTTGGGGTGGTTGGGTGGCTCAGTTGGTTAAGCATCCAACTCTTGACTTTGGGTCAGGTCATGATCTCATGGCTCTTGAGTTTGAGACCTACATCAGGCTCTGCACTGACACTGTGGAACCTGCTTGGGATTCTCTCTCTCTCTCTCTCTCTCTCTCTCTCTCTCTCTCCCCCTCCCCCACTCAATGCTGTCTCTCTCTCTCTTTCAAAATAAATAAACTTATAAAAAAAAGATTCACAGTGTTCACATCTTCGAAGAGATATGGTCTTACCTAGTATTTAAGACAAAGTGGACACCCACTCAATTTTCCTCTAGATTAGGGAAGATGGTAAAAAAAGAGAACGTAGGAGAAAACGCAGTCACATACATGTCCTCTGGCTGTGGTAGGATACAAAGAGCAGAAAGCAGCTTAGCTGCATCAATCATCATGTTGGGAACAGCAGGATCCATGGCTCTGACCAGCAGCAGGATTCCTTCTTCTGTTTCCAGCATGGTCTTGATTCCAAACTAGTAGGACAAGAACAGAGAAGGGAGGCTTAATGATGACAGGAAGTAACCAAGGACAAAGTCAGGGTTGTTATGGATTGAAAGGTGTTCCACCTAAATTCATATGTTGAAGTCATAATCCCCAGTACCTCAGAATGTGACCTTACTTGGAAATAGGGTCATTGGCAGATGTAATTAGTTAAGTTACAACAAGGTCACACTAGAATAACGTGGACCCTTAATCCAGTGTGACTACTGTCTTATAACAATGAGACGTGGGGACACACACATGCACATGGGAAGAACATCTTGTGAACATGAAGGCAGACATTGGAGTGATGCATGTGAAAGCCACAGAATGCCAAAGATCGCCAGCAAGCCACCAGAAGCCAGGTGAGAGGCATGGAACATACTCTCCCTCACAGCCCTCGCAAAGGACCCAATCCTGCCAACACCTTGATCTTGGATTTAGAGCCTCTAAGAACTGTGAGACAATAAATTTCTTGTTAAATACAGTTTAGTCCAGTTTATAATACTCTGTAGAGCAGCCCTAGCAAACTAACACAGGGGTAGAACTTTCCCGAGCTAAACAGAGATAAGCATAGCAAAATAATTTTATACTAAATCAAACACAATTCTAGGTCTTCAAGAACAAAAGTCTTTAATTCTTGTATTTTTTTTAATGCCCCCTCCCATCCAATGGAGTAAATTAATTATAAAAAAATTAAACAATGAGGGGGCGCCTGGGTGGCTCAGTTGGTTAAGCATCCAACTTCGGCTCAGGTCATGATCTCATGGTTCATGGGTTCGAGCCCTGTGTTGGACTCTGTGCTGACAGCTCAGACCCTGGAGTTTCCTCCAGATTCTGGGTCTCCCTCTCTCTCTCTACCCCTCCCCTGGCTCATGCTTTGTCTCTATCAAAAATAAACACAAAAAATTTTATTAAAAATTTAAAAAATTTTAAATATTTTAAAAATTAAATGATGAGGAAGATATATCTGCACTCAAAAGCAAACAACTGTGAGATCCCTGAGTTTAAATACTAAACAGACAGGGGTACCCAGATGACTCAGTCGATTAAGCATCCAGCTCTTGGTTTCAGCTCAGCTCATGCATGGTCTCACATTTTGTGAGCTCAAGCCCTGCATCAGGCTCTGCACCAACACTGTGGAGCCTGCTTAGGATTCTCTCTCTTCCTCTCTCTCTGCCCTTCCCCCGCTCTGTCTCTCAAAATAAACAAACTCCAAAAAAAAAATTAAATACTAAACAAAGAAAAAAAACAAAGATTCTACGGTAGAAACAGTCTGGGAAACAAATAACCGGAGAATAAATAAACCTTCCAAAATCAAACACAGGTCAGGAAATTCAATTAGCAAAACAAAGTATAAAAAGAGGAAGGAAAGCAAACCTACCTTCTGAAACAGACATCAGAACTGGAGAAAAAAAGGTCCATAGAAACATACTTAGGTGACAATCAAAAAGTTGTAACACTAAAAAGGAATGCTACAAGCCTTGAACCTCCTATTCCTAAGTCCTTTTATGGAGTTTGCCAATAGAAAAGAAAGAACAGGGATCATGATGGGGGTTGGAATGAGAATAGGAAAAATCTCACCTTGTTGTTCATAAAAGCTTTCAGGCAACGAATGATCTCATGCTTGTTACGGCTATCGTAGCCTCTGTGTGTAGAAGACATAATCAGTGAATTCCCTTTATTCTATACTCCTCTGCCACTTGACTTTTCAATCTTGCAAACAAGGGTCTTCAAAACATCCCCAATTAGTAGCCGAGTAAATTCTAGTACATACCACTTTGCCCTGAAACACTGGCAAAAACAGGTAGCTGAAGAGGCATTGCCACCATAAGACCTTTGGTTAATCCTGCAATCCAAGAACTTAATACTACATTAAAATCTCCTCTTTAACTCCCTCTAGGCTTCTAAGTGCTTAACTCCATCAAGATAACATCCCATCTATTACTGCTTGCCTCACTACTTCAAAGGTTTTAAGCTTGTACATTCAGGAGGTATAGGCCTGGTGTTTTGTCTTGGAAAGATCCCAGGAAATAGAAAAGTCACGGTGGGTCAGACTGGCTTCAAGGTAGCCTAAGACAGTCCAAGGTATCCCCCAAACTATCCCAACCTTGAAGACTATCATAAAGCCAGTCCCAAACTCATCAAGTGTATTCTAAGACTTTCAGGTCCCAGCCAGACCAGGTCCCAGGACAGCTATGGATGAACTCCAACCCCACTTCCAGATAGGGTAAGTTATGTTACGATACCCACAATCTTATGTGTTATCCACCATTTCCTCTTCCGTTTCCTGCATCATCTGTAATCATCCCTCAGGCTCTAGTTTGCCCTAGGTAAACCTTGTTCTCAACTAACAGCATATTCTCCTGGTCCACAACTTCTCATTTTATTGCCATTTTCTCCTTTAGAGCATACAGACAAGTTCCCCACTACCCTCCACTGGGAAGATGTCAAAACTTGGAAGTCCTCACCCAGCAGTCTCCTCTTTCTCATCATGGAGTCGTTTAAGGATGTCCAATAAAGAGGTCAGACCCTCAGCACCAAATGTTTGCACCCAGCTGTAAGGAATAGACAGAGACAATGCAATATCAATAATCGATAACTGCCCAAATTCTACCTGGCAACTCTTTACTCCCAATCCAGAGTTCTCAGACATCCTGACTCCACCAGTAAACCCTAACTTTGGGCTCTTATTCTTGTTACCACTTCAGAATCCTCACCTGACAGGGTTGTTGTTGAGGGAGACACGAAGGGACTCTAGGCAGCTGAGCAGAGGCATATCCCGCAAGCCTGACCTCAATTCTTGAATGTACATCATAGCAGACCTAGAACTCTCCTTCTGGCTCATGCCCTAGATGAAGCATATGGAGAGATTAATCAACACTGGACCCAATCAGCAAATGGACTAGAATCAGACATTACATTATGAATATCAAGGCAGACACACATCATAAATACTACCAAACTCTGTGGGACTCATAATTTCCCATCCCATTCCCCATAGACTTCGTGAAGATTGAATCAGGCAAAAAGTATGTTAAGAATGGTAACTCAAATGAGAGTAAAACATGAATAGACTTATACGACAGAATAAAAGAAGACTGATGTAGACACACAATGTTCTAAGGAACTGGTAAAACAAACAGGTCCAAGATGAGGGCAGGGTCTCCCACGTCATGGGTACCTGCCCTAGGACTCACAGCCTTAGAGGTGTGCAAGTATTGGGACACCATCTCTCTCTTGATGATAATATCCTTCTCCCTCAAAGGTTGCTGTTTCTCCTCGTTAAGGTTCATATCCAGCTAGTAGAGGAAGGGGGAAAAAAGGAAAAAACAAAACTGCATCAAGTTCCTTATAATTTTTCAGTGTTTAATATTTAGTATATTTAGTGAGAAGTTAAATTAAATAGTTACTGAATAAATAAGTTTTCCTGATACCTTGAGGTTTAAGCTATCACCAGATAATGAAAATTCCTCAGGGATAAATGTTAATGGTTAACATTTTAGCATAGATTCCTAGAAACACTTTTATACTCTTAATGCTTTTCCTAACAAAAATGGGTTTTTAAAATAGATGAAAAAAATTTTTTTATTATTGAAAGAAAAGCACACATACTGGTTTTGTACTTGGAATGGATCTTAAAAATTTCCTCTGGATGACTGGCATCATCCAAACACCCACAAGATGTGCACCACTCTCAGGCATAAATACCCAATACCCCTGGTTAATTCAGTCCCTGTACAAACTTCTTTCCCATGAAGAAAGAACTAGAAAAGTCTGATAAAGCCCCTCAACAGATATAACTTGGGTGTATTGTTGAAGAAAAGGCACTGCTTGAGCCTTTGTATAGCCATGTGTATGAGCCCAGTACCTTGATGAGCACAGTTTAATCCAACAAGTCTGAAATAGTATCTGAAATGGGGAAAGGGTAGGGGTAAAATGGATACTTTCCATTTCTTCTCTTCTACTCTCCATTTCTCTCTCTTCTCTTTCGCTCTGTGTGTAAGACAGAGAGAGAGAGAGAGAGAGAGGGAGAGAGAGAGAGGGAGAGAGAGAATGAAACACTGCCTCAAAATAGTAATACTAATGTGATGTTTTTCTGACCCAATTCCTGGTGCTTTTTTTCTCCTTTTACAGATAAACTGAACACAGAAATTGCATCGTACGTGGACTTCAGGTTGAATCAGACCCCAAAACACAGTATATTTTGCTTGGCTAGCTCAACATTTTAAATTTGGAAGACTTCATATAAAAATACAGATTTCTAGCATCACAAGATGCAGTCATCAAATTTCAGATTGTGGGTAACTCTAGAAGTCAAATGATTTCTTCCACAAAATTTTTGTAGTAATAGCAAGGATAAAAGAGAGAGACGAAACCTGTAATAAAATAAAACTTAAAAGAACATTCATACAATGGACCTAACTTGGAACTGTGATTTGAGCGAACAAATGGTTTTCAAAAAAAGGATCTAATGGTGAAATTTGAATACTGGTGAAATTTGAAAGCTGGTTATGATAGTTGATGCTATGAAAGAACTACTGTCTCCAAAAATTCAAGATTTCTGGCTTCCTTAGAAAATACAAGTATCTGGCACTACTGGCATTTCCAAATGGAGTGCTACAGAGCCTACTGCCACTGAATCACGGCTGGCCTTCCTAACAGGCCTAAAGTCCTTCTGCATCTGACTACAGTCCTCACTCCTTTTCATCATCTGCTATCTGGTCTAACTTATTCCTGCCAACTCCCTGGCCCCCAAAAACATGTAAACCCAACAGATTGTGTTAGGCTCATACAGCACTTGGATTAAGAGACAAACTAAAAGCTTTTACTGAAAAAAGAATAATAGTGCTGGCTGAGTGTTTACTATATACCAGGCCCTGTGTTAAGAATTTTAAGCCCATGCTCTCAATTAAATGAGGTCTGCCGCTAGTCTCTATTTGAATCTGAAATCCTATATCCAGGCAATATAGAGGTCTTATGAAACCTTAGAAACAAGTACTCAAAACTTTTCAAGACTGAGCGCTAGTGGACATTCACTGAGTGTCCTCTTCAGTGTTCCTCACTGAGGACAGGAAATTAAGACACATCCTTGTGTACTTCATTACTCAACTGGCTTCAACCATAATCTTTAAAGGTCTTCTAGTAATTGTAGCATCAGATTTCTCTTTCCAGATTCACCACTAAATAGAAGCCGTTCAGCAAATTATGCCTTTCCATTACTCAGTCTCTTCTATAAGATTCTTTGTGAAACTTTACCTACCCTGGCTAACCCAAAGGTAGTCTCCACACTACCCCATGAGTTGGTGCACTCACCTTATGTCTTTGTGGCTAACACAATGCTGGGCAGGACATTAAGGAGGTGGTCACTGATCAGATATTTCCAAGCCTAACTCATCAATTCCAATCTTATGGATGGGTGCTTATAAATTTAGTCCCTTTGTTAATAGGACTGCTAATAAGAACCTCTCTGTTGAGGCGCCTGGGTGGCTCAGTTGCTTAAGTGTCTGACCTCAGTTCAGGTCATGATCTTGCAGTCTGTGAGTCCAAGCCCCACGATGGGCTCTATGCTGACACCTCAGAGCATGGAGCCTGCTTTGGATTCTGTGGCTCCCTCTCTCTCTGCCCCTCCCCTAATCATGCTTGGTCTCTCTCTCCCTCTCTCTCAAAAATAAACAAACATTTGAAAAAAAACTAAGGGGTGCCTGGGTGGCTCAGTTGGTTAAGTGTCTAACTTTGGCTCAGGTCATGATCTTGCAGTTCGTGAGTTTGAGCCCCATGTTGGGCTCTGTGCTGACACCTCACAGCCTGGAGCCTGCTTCAGATTCTGTCCCTCCCCCCCGTCTGCACTCTGTAGCTGTCAAAAATAAACACTAAAAAAAAAGTTCTCTGTCAAGCCTGGAACTTTTGTAATTAAGGGCTAATTAAGTGAGTAGGGGATGCCTGGGTAGCTCAGTTAAGTGTCAGACTCTTGATTTCAGCTCAGGTCATGATCTTGCCGTTGTGGGATCAAGCCTGTGCTGTCAGCACAGAGCCTACTTGGGATTGTTTCTCACGTTCCCTCTCTGCCCCTCCCTCTCCCACTCCCATGCTCTCTCAAAATAAACAAATACTTTGGGTAAAAAAGGGGCTCATTAAGGGAGATCATGCCCAAAAGAGTACCAACCATGCCCACAAATGCATTTTCAGAAAAAAAGCAATGTTTTGGGGTGGGAAACTTACCAGCATCTGTTCAAAGAGTACTAGAACTTGCTCGTCTGAAACATCTTGCAATGACTGTGCTGTGGGATCATCCCCATATGCTGCAGAAGAATTTCTATGAGCAGAATTGGGCTTTTCCTTCTCCTTTTTAATTCTCATGCTGGTAAATCTCTCCAGCTGAGAAAAAAGAAAAAAGTATTAACAGTTATACATTTTCATTTACACAACAATCGACACATCAAGTAGCCAAACTCTAGCTTCTTATATGTGCAAGGTTCCTCTGGTTTGTGGGCACTTCGAGGGTCTTCTGACATGGGGGTACCTGGGTGGCTCAGTCAGTTAAGTGTCCAACTCTTGGCTTCGGCTCAGGTCATGATCTCAAGCCCCATGTTGTGCTCTGCGCTGGAAGTGCAGAGCCTGCCTGGAATTCTCTCTCTCTCTCTCTCTCTCCCTCCCTCCCTCCCTCCCTAGGCCTTCCCCTGCTCATTCTCTCTCTCTCCCTCTCTGTCTCTTAAAATAAACTTTAAAAAATATCTTCTGACATGAAAACAAGAACTCTGACATCTAATTTAGTATACTGACTCTGTACTCTCACTTTCATCCAAAGATAAGAGATCTGAAGTATTAAGATTTGAAACCTCTCTAAAATGAGAAAACTTTGTTCTTGAGCTCTCTGACCATTTCTAAGCCCTCCAGCAGCACTGAACTGACAGAAAAGAATATAGTGTACTTTAGGGATATATAAGCCACCTCTCTGCCAACCAAAGACTCATGAACCATTCCCCAAAACTCAAGTACAGATGCTCAAATCAAAGAGCCACCAATAAGCTGCAGTTTGTTCGCTCCACCTGTTTGAAAGTAAAAGTTAAGTATCTGCAAGCACTGGGGGACTTCAAGTGATAGGGGTTGCATCCAGACTGCAAGTCAGTTATGAATTTAAAGAATGTGCCTACCCTTGGAAACCAATGAATGCCCCAGGGAAATGCATGCAATGGGCCAAACACAAAGCAAAGAGTTAGGGAAAAGCTTTGGGAGGTTCTGAGAATAGAGCCAGTATCACCATTTCAAGTTATAGAAAGTCAAAGTTATGACAACTGGTAAGTATCACAGTGGAGGAAATGAGCTAGAACATGCACATGCTGAACAAAATTTCCTTACCTCATCTGCCATGAGCCGCTTCAGAGTCTAGGAAACAGGAAAAAGGAGGGAGAAGAAAGAGAAGATAGATCAGTGAAATTCCAGGAAATGTCCCAAACACCAGATGGATTGGGGGGAAAAAAGAATAAGGTAAAAGGATCTAAGTTGCTTTCCACAAACTAAAAGATTTCAGCCAAGTGTTCCTTAGCACATTCCCTTAGCTAAGAGGCATCAAGAGTTTTAAGGTCACTAATACCTTATACTTTGGGGGGGGGGGGGGGAAGTAAAGACCTGCACAGACTCAATCTGATGACCAATACACCTATGAAACATACTCTATTAGTAAACAAGGACATGCCAACTAAAACCACAATGATAATGCTTCCCGCTCTTAAGATGGGCAAACATTTTCATGTCTGTCTAGTTGTAGAGGAGCGGGAGCTCTCACACTCTGTTAGTGGTAATGTAAATTGCTCTGGCCACTTTGGAAACCAGCAAGGCATTATCTAGTGAAGTTAAATATGTATATGTACAACTCATCAATTTCTATAAATCTACCCTGCAGAAACTTGTATGTATGTACCAGGATGTGTATAACAAGAATGTTCACAGCAACACCAGAGTACCTAAAACAGAGACCAATCCCAAGAGCCATCAAGAGTAGAACAGATACCATGTATCTGTGGAGAACAATTATACAGAAAAATTAAATGAACTTAGAGCTACTTACAAACATTAAAATTGAATTTATTTCATTTATATGCAGTTTAAAAACATGGACACTATATTATTTAGAATGTAAAATTATAAAAGGAATGATGATCACAAATGTCAAAACAGTGCTTACTTGGGGAGAGTGGGTGAGGTGTGACTGCAGAAGGGGAAAAGGGGCTTCTAAGGGGCTCACAATATTCTACTTGGTTTCATTATTCTATGTTTTATGTTCTCTTCTATGTACATGCCATACTTAGAGAGAAAGAGAAAGAAAGAAAGAAAGAAAGAAAGAAAGAAAGAAAGAAAGAAAGAAAGAGAAAGAAAGAAAGAAAGAGAAAGAAAGAAAGAAAGAAAGAAAGAAAGAAAGAAAGAAAGAAAGAAAGAAAGAAAGAAAGAAAAAAAGAAAAGGGAACAAGCAGGGTGGTAAAGTAGGAATTCTTTGCCCTAGTACTTAATTTTAAACCATTATTTCTTTTTGCTCATGTTATTAAGTCAGTTAAATCCAGTGTAAACTGTGAATCTTAACTTTTCCCACCATGGTCCAGAGGAGGTCAAGCTTCCACTGACTGAGTGCTAATCACATACCTGAAGCTGTTAACAACCTTGCTCAGAATCGATGGAGTTTAAAGTTACTTTATGTGTGCTGTTAACTAGGGACTGAAGATAGAAGGATGGTGAGGCAGACAGCAACACCCAAGGAGACTAACAGTTCTTTTTGTCACCACCCTTAGTTACTACCTGGCACTTGCGAAAACAAGCTACAAAAAGGATGAGGATGTACAATTTAGGTTGCCACAGCCACAGTTCAACTTATTTGCACCTAGAGCAGTTGCTTCTAGGATCTGGTCCTCCAAACTCAAAATGTTCCTCAGAACCAATCAATAACCCCAACCATTCTGGGATGGATGTAACACAGGTAACAGAACTTGGGTCTAATGAAACAGTGCCAGCTGGATCGCTCACAGCTACAGGTTAAAGTTAAAGAAAGGAAACCAGCAACTTGTTCCTTCTGCCTACAGACTTTATTTCCTTTCTGCTCATCCCTACTAACACTATGTAAGTTTACAGAATTATTATCTCCTGCTTGACTTACTGTAACAGCTTCCTAACTGATCTCCCTACCTCCAGTCCTGTCTACCCAACACTAAATCCATTATCCATATTACATCCAAGAGTAATCTTTCTAAAATGACACGGTGTCCATGGTATTTCCTCATTTAAAACACTTCAATGGCTCCCTACTACTACCCTCAGGTTAAAATCCAAATTCCTTAGCATGGAATAGGACATTCCTTCCTGGATTCTCCCCCTCATCTCTTGCAAACCCTCGCATCCCAAACTAGTTGCAGGTCCACAAATAGATCATGCTGTCTTACCACCCCAGACTTTCCCTAGGCTGCTCCTTCCCTCAGTCTAGACTGTGCTCTCAAAGCTAAATCAAACAGGCCCTGCAGGATGATACCTCCTCTAATTGGACAAGTGCTTCTCCTTATGTTTCCACAGTAATAGGTACTTGACTGCCTCATAGCACTACTTGTGGATTACAATTGTCTCTTGACTGTCTCCTCTACCCCTTTCCAGACTAAGTTCCTTCAGGGCAGAGCCTGAGACTCAGTCATTATATTTCCTATGAACAAATACCACCATCTGGGGCTGCTTTCCTAAAATACCAAACCCGGAAGAAGCTCTCAAATTTATTCACCGTGTCAATGAAAAAACTGAAGCCTAGACAGGTAGAGTAAATCATGGAAGTCACATGACCAGCAACAAGCTGGGAATGAACTCTAGTCTCCAGATTCCGAAGCCCAAAAATCTTTGCATTCTCCAAATTCTTGTGTCTTGGTCCCACTTAATGCCCACTAACTCTTGCCTTTGATATCAAAGTAAATATAACTTTTCATAAAAAGAAAGATACCACTTTCCCTTGCTTTCCTTGGTACATTAGAAACAGATTTACTTACTTAAAAAATTAACCACATTTTAGTGGTCAGTTTGAGTAAGGAGAGCAAAAATGATGCATGCAGGATCAAAGTTGTATTTCCTCAAAATTTCCAACAGAGGGCAGCAACTACCAGGAAAGCGAATCACCCTACAGACAAAATTCAGTTTCAAAACCCAACAGAACACCCAAATAGCAAGCTCAATTCAATTACTGAAATGGAACCTGCTCCTACACTATATTGAGGGTGTACTGTTTATTGACTTAAAACTATGTGTGTTTTCCTTACAAGTCCTAGGTATACAGTGTTTAAAAACAGTAAGCTTTGCTCAGTGTTTTCCTTGTATCATTAGTTGTTTTGTGGATTCTGAGATACAAAATGAGAAATTTCCAGATCATAAAAAGCATAAATGACTAAAGGTAGTGAAGTCCAGGAAGATAAATGCTGCTGGAGCTATAGTTGTGGCTAACACCTCAAATGTCCAAGCTTTTTCACTAGGTTCTCTAATCACCCTACCTGCCTCTAAATGCCTCTCCTCTCAAAATTCTCCTTGCTTGCTGTCAATTCTCTTCTGCCCCCAACCAAACTCTTGCTCTCCTAGCCTGTTGGCACTCACTACTTCATCTTCCTGTCCTTCCTACTGAGTCTTCCCCTAAAGCCTTTAACTATCAACACAGATACTGGAAGAAGCATAGATACTAAGTGAAACCTTTTATAATATCCAAGTCTGCTCATGAATACAGATTAACAGGAACTACTAGATAAAAGTACCTAATGTCTTGACCCTTCTTGAAACCCTTCTGAATCTACAGAAAAAGAATTTTTGGAAAGATAACAATGATGAAAGGAGGAGCCTACAAGGTTGGAAGAATGAGAAAAGCACAAGGGCAAACAAATTTTGAGGCTGTGAATAAACAGGACTAGCAGTAAACCCAGCAGGCCTAAGACAGCTGAATCCTAAACTAAAAGTAGGAAAAGCCAATAACCAAGCCGAACTATATTTAAAGGTCCTCAAAAGGTTCAAGATTTAGCAGCCCCAGGAACCTATGGAAATGGGAGTTGGAAGGGATAGGCTAAAAATAGGAGGACTGGTTGGAAGCTGTTTAAGAAGCACTTGGATCTACCGGTAGATCCTCCCTCCCCCACTCCCCCAGTCCTCCTGGCCCATACCACTGGGAGAGTACCCTCCCTTACTCCAGCAGAAAGACGTATATTCTTTTTTTTTTTTTTTTTTAAGTTTATTTATTGATTTTGAGAGAGAGCGTGTGCCCATGCATGCGAGAGGGAGCAGTCGAGGAGAGAGACAGAATCCCAAGCAGGCTTTGCACAATATCATTAGCTTGGAGCCCGATGAAGGGCTGGATCCCACCAACTTCAAGATCAAGAGTCTGACACCAAATAGACAGCGCCACTCAGGTGTCCCTGGAAGTTTTATGCTTACAAGAAAGTAAAATAGGGTCTGTGACTGGGAGATGCCAGGCACAGTTGTGGGCAGGAATCCTATACCAAAAAGAAGAGTAATCAAATCTATGCATATTACCTACTAAGACACCTAGCACCTTCCCCCTTAAAGTTTCTCAGAACCCCAGCAGCATGGCCCTTACCATTGAGGCGGTAAATTGGTAGACTCTTGTCTGGGAACTGAAAAATGACCTAAAACTCCTGACACAGTCCAAGTAGATCACTCTGGAACTCTGCAATCTAATATGGTAGCTACTACCCACATGTAATAACTTAGCACTTTTAATGTCATTAGTATGCCTGAGGGATGAATTTTACTTTAAATAAATTTAAATTTAAAAACTTGTATTTTATTGTTAATGTTAAACTTAAGTATGTTTGGAATATCCTGGGTATGTGAATCTACTTTGACCTGTAAAATTTATAAAGTCTAAATTTACCTCAACTACTTTTTATGAAAATTTAACATCTAAATTGAGATGTACTATATATAAATGTAAAACAAACACTGGAGTCCAACAACTTAATACTAAAAACAAAATATAAAACATCTCATTAATAATTTCATGTTTACTACCTATTGAAATATTTTTATATATTGGATTACATAAACTAATATTATTACAATTAATTTCACGTTTCTTTTTTTTTTTTTTCTTTATGCCTTTTTCTGTAGCTGCCAGAAAATCTGATACATATGGAACTCACACTGTATCTCTACTGGACAAAGTTGTTCTACCATAAAGTGCACACTTAACAAACCAGTTCATCTAGAGTTTCCAATCAGTTTGTTAGTCCCTCATTCTTAAACATTAGCAGACAACCCAGGTTATTGGACATTTGAGAAAAGCCACTAATGCAAGACATAAAAAAAGGGGGGGGGGGAGCTGCTTGTCATATATAGACTATGCAAAAAGATTTTCAAAATCACTA